TGCATTTAATTTGGAAATTTTATGTAGTATGTAGTTTGATGCAATAGAAAGCCATTCTGTGGGGTTTGTATGTGCACACCCACTTATCTTAGTTGGGAAGATGACTCTATGAATATCTTGCATAGAAGAAAGCATCAGGTTTATTATTAATTTTTTTGCAAAGTGATAGGTACATTCCTCTTATTTATTAATTATTGACTTTGATATTAGAGGTCTTTGTAGATTGACTTAAGACCTGAATTAAAACATTGTAAACATTGCAGCTTAATAAATGTTTATTGTAAAAGCATCACATTTTAGTTTGAATCAAATATGCAATCTCATTACAGTCTTCATATTTTTTATTGTTCTCTAATTATATCTCTATCATTAGGCTGTGACATGACTGACCTATAAACATGATTTTTGTTACATATAATGCAGAATAAATTGTAATTATATTTTAAAATTTCTTCCTTTTTTCTTTAGTATGCTTGAAATTTATATACATTACTTTTTTCTACTCTCACTTTAAAATTATTTCTTTGAGAGTTTCATACAATTTTAATCATATTTACCCCTTCTCCTCACACCTTCCAAATCCATGCCCTTTTTCCTATCCTATTCTGTGTCCTCCTCCTTCAAAACCCACCAAGTGCTGTTTATGTTACCCATACACTCTTGGAGATATGGCTTTCACAGGGGGTGGTCTACCCATTAGGGCCCATACCCTTAAAGAAAACTGGCTGTCCTCCTGGCAGCTACCAACTGCCAAAAGCTCCTCAGGTAGGGTTGGGACTTTGTGCCCACCTCTCCCCGTGCTGGATTTTGTCTGGCTGGAGCCAGCCCAGACATAATGGTCCTTTAATATTTTTGTGTCTGTTCATTTGAAAGGTGGTGTCAGAATGAAAGATGCAAACAGACTTTCTTTGACTTTAGGCGACAATATTAATCAGAATTGGAGCTAGTGCGCGGAGATCTTTCATTTCTCAAGGTAACTTTCATGCGTCAGGTAGTGAGTGAGATCGTCTGGTATGGCACGGGGTTCAGATAATGAGGAACTGAAAATTATGTCACTGTAATCGTTCCCTCCCACCAGCACGAAAATAAAAAGATACAGATTACATTTGTAGTGTCAACCCCAAGACAGAAAATGAAGAAGAAAGATCAATTTTATAGTTAATGCTTCAATTTTTTTAATGTTTTTCCATGAACAGGACACACTCTGTTCCTCCTTCAGCCTACCAGCTGAGCCTTTAGTTGACTTTGCTAATGTATCTTCAGCTCCATGATGATGTCCTCATGCCTGAAGACTCAGACTTGGGTCTGTTCTGCTCTTTGAATTTTCCCTTCCGAGGATCTCCTTTCTGTCTAGTGTTAAGATAGGCTGTTACTCCTCTCTAGAAGTATCTCTTACCAATGAACTCCTTTTAACTTATTGACATCTTTGTACAATATCTGAATTTTCATGGGATACATAGGCAATTTGCTGAGGACAATTAGATTCTGTTTCAGAATGAGAACATAGGAGTTTGGCCTGGCTTATCTTAAATGCACTGACAAAATCATCTAACTCAAAGCCCATTTTATAATAAATGTTGATTATTTCAGAAAAGTCTTTGGATACTTAAAGTAAAAATCACAATGGTTATATGGGTGTGTTTTTGCACACTGTAAAATAAAAGTAATGGTGAAAGGAAACCATCATAACCAAGGGACCATTTATATACTCCTAGGAGTCTTTACCCCAAATAGTCTTAGAATATGTACACATCTTCATAAAGATATAAAAATTGAAATTCATTGCATACAGCATATATATGTGGAATCAAGATGTCAGGCAAGGTTATTTCAGTGGGAAGAAATTGTATAAGATTTCAAAGAAATTCTGGCTGATAATGTTCACTCTGATCTTTGAGGTAATATAGTAGCCACTTTTATGTTTTATATTTTTATAAGTGTATTTATAAAGAAGATGTTTATGTTTTTAATAGCCACAAGTTGGAAATTACTTCTGGATCATCAATAATAGAATAAATAAACTGTTGTATACCCAAACAATGAGCTATGAATAGCAATGAAAATGAATGGTGTAGCTGAAGTTTTCCTAGTCCTGCCTGGCCCATGGTCAAGACAAATCTCTCTCACCCATCAGTCCCGCAGCCAAGTAAACACAGAGAGACTTATATTACTTATAAACTGTATGGCCGTGGCAGGCTTCTTGCTATCTAGTTCTTATATCTTGAATTAACCCATTTCTATTAATCTATAAGTTGCCATGTGGCTTGTGGCTTACCGGTATCTTAACATTTGCTTTTCATGGCGGTGGCTGGCAGCATCTCCTGTCTCAGCCTTCCACTTCCCAGAATTCTCCTCTCTCTTTGTCCCACCTATACTTCCTGCCTGGCTACTTTATTTATTAACCAATCAGAGCAATTTATTAACCAATCAGAGCAACACATTCACAGAATATAGAACATCCCACAGCAGAATGGACTGCACTAGCAATAAAAGGGATGAATCTTAGGTGTGGGTGAGCCAGCTCCAAAAGTTGTGAGCATGGGAGAGCTCTCCACATTTCTCATCTGTTTTGTGGCAACATGAGTAGGGGAATGATGCCCTTCCCCAACCCAGCAATGTCTGGGGCAGGTGGGAGAGCTGGCCCTGTGGTCATAAGAGCAGGAGAACTCTCCCTGACCCCTACCAGCTACAACACTTGGGAGAGTAGGCCCTGTTCTGTGCCAGGACAGCACAATAGAGCCAACCCTGTTAGCGCAGGAGTGGGTGAGCCAGTCCCAAACGTTGTGAGCATGGGAGAGATGTCATCATTACCCATATGTCTTGTGGTGACATAGGCAGGGGAGAGTTGCCCTCCCCCCTCCCTGTGCATCAGCATCTGGGTGGGAGAGCTGGCCCTGTGGTCGTAAGAGTGGGAGAACCAACCCTGTTAGTACAGGTGTGGGTGAGCCAGCCCTGAAGTTGTAAGCATGGTAGAGCTGTCCCCATTTCACATCTGGTGGACCAACCCTACAGCTGCCCAGGCCCAGACCCAAGGTAATGACTTGGCCCACCCCATAATCCATCCCATCTATGAACTGCTGGAGCATGTGAAGGGACCTGACCTGCAGACCCAAAGCTTCAGGATCTCCACAACACAGGGCAACAACAGGATATCCAGGAGGAACCCTAGTGAGGGCCCAGCATTAATAGTGTGGTAGAAACCAGAGGCCGGGAACCAGACCAATGACTCTTTACAGTAAACACTTACAAGTGAAGATATGGACAAAGGGGTTTATGGTGTGACTCACTGTGTCACACTACAGCTTCCATTTTGTTTCCCTCTTTTCATTTTATTTTCTCTTAAATTTTTTTTTATTTGGGGGGTGTGCAGCAGTGGAAGGTGGATGCAAAGGGATGAAATAATGAATTGGATCAAGATACATGATGTAAAAGACACATAGAATAAAAAAAGAGATGACTCTTACCAATATAATATTGAACATTACAAAGCAAAATTAAGCTAGATATTGGAGAAAGGAGGAAAAGGTTTTATGTAAAGCAGTCAAAGATTACAATAAATCTATGATGTTTAGATACACACACACACACACACACACACACACACACACACACACGAAGTTAGCATTTACCTTGTGGGTTATGACTTGAAGGGAACCCATTTGGAGCTGCTGAGATGTTGTCAATTGTTTCTAGATGTAGATTCTATCAGTAGGGCATATTCAGTTTGTTACCAAAATAATCTTCAGTTGCACATGATGTGCACATGCATTTATGTCGTCAGTAGGCTTTGTTTACTAATCAATCCCGACCATACGCTAGACTCCCAAGAAAACCTGTATGCCATTATTTGGACTCCTCCTTGGAGCTCCTTCTCCTCTTGAGTTCCCAGAGAAGCCTGAGAACGTTCAGGGTATAGAAATAGGGGTATGGGGAACAACCAACACACCTTATAAACACACAAGACATGCCTTTTTTTTTTTTTTTTTTTGGTTTTTTTTTTTTTTTTTTCGAGACAGGGTTTCTCTGTGTAGCTTTGCGCCTTTCCTGGATCTCACTTGGTAGACCAGGCTGGCCTCGAACTCACAGAGATCCGCCTGCCTCTGCCTCCCGAGTGCTGGGATTAAAGGCGTGCGCCACCACCGCCCGGCATAAGACATGCCTTTTTGATAAGCCTATTATATTGGTTTCTTCTAGAGAGACTGCAAAACATGTGTTGTATAGGTCAAGTATGGCAGTCTTCCATCTTCAGTCAAGGGGAAAATTTTAGCTATGCTCAGTATTAATTCCAACAATTATTTCCTGAGAACTTGCTCTGTCATACTGACAAGGGGTGCAATGCTCCGGCTCTAGCAGCCACACCATTCTCAGGCAGCCTTGCCCCAGGACATAGTATCCATTCTCTACAGAGGGCCCAACTGGCTGTACTCATGGCTGCTGTTCCTTGTTAGGTTGGCCCTACAGACTGAAAGGCCTGGATAGGTCTGTGGGGTCTTCAACTCCAAGGCCTGGCCCAGAGTAGCTACTGAACATTCCCTACCACTGAAAGAATCCCAAGGCAGAATCTGAAGTCCAAGAGAGGATATGACCTCATTCTGGGTGTCAGAGAAAGTGCCTTACATCAAGACAACTCCACACATCTAAAATGCTCTGGATGGACTCCACTGTGATCAGGGTGTTGCTGGAAGGCCAACCTGAATTCACCAGCTTAAGAACCGTAGAGGGGAGGAAAGAACAGGGAGGAAAGCTCTCTTTCTTTCTCACTCTTACACATAAAATAGATGCCACCACAACAAAAGCCCCTGAAAGGTAAGGGAGGACTATTTGGGGGAGTGATGGGGCATGATGAGGGAGCATCACTGTTGGAGGTGAATATGAGCAGAGTGCATTGATATGTGTGCATGAAAGCATAATAATGAAAATTACTATATGCTTACAAAAATTTATGAAAAATTAAAAATCTGTCAGGTTTCACTTTATATTTTGAAATTATTACAGAAGCATATTTTAAATACTCTCAAGGTATTTATTTCTCCAAACATTCTTTGCCACACTTTACACTAGCTCAAAGTTCAGTTCAGTGTTTATATTTCGTTCCACAAAGACCACTTTTTGTCCAAACAGTGTGACCATCAGTCACACGGTGAACCCCATGGTCAGCCACTTTGTTCCCCTGAATGGACAAACCCACTGCTCTGCTACAAGGTCAAAGCTTGACCTCAAAGTTATTAAGAAGGGAGGGGGGCTTCTGCAAAGCATACTTCTAAGACAAACAAAGCCACAAGGGATTTCTTAAGAACGGATAACAAAAGGGAACATCATATTGTTATACATGATTTGGAATGAAAGAAATACATGTTTTTTTTTCTGGTCCAACTTTTGATACTCTTCCAGTTCTATCCCTGGGCCTCTTCACTGGGTACCACAAAGCCTTCATTTGAGGCATCGAGGATGTCTATAGTCCTCTGTTCATCCTCCTAGCCAGTTAGTTCGACAATTCTTTGAGCTGTCCGAGGTAGACATCTCTCTTCTTGTAAGTCTTCGGCAGTAAGCTTTGGTACTCTGACCTGTTGCACCCACGGGGTACTTTTCACCCCAGTGCTTGCTCCCACAGGATTCTTCCCCCCGCAACCCTTAGCGGCTGTAGTTCTGTGTTGACATGGGTCTCTGGGAGGCCACACTGCGAGAGCCCAGAGGTTTCTTTGGTTTGAGTTGAACAAGGGGGCAGCTGCACTTTCTTGACCCTGGCAGCTGTGGGGTCCTAACTGGTTCCATTCACAGTATATGGAAAAACTTCTGGAACTACTGGCTGAATTATTTTCCTTATTGTGCATTTATCCATCCTTCATCTTAAATCTGCTTACAGTATTTCTGAAGCTCTGGATATGTTTGTGTTCTAAGTCAGCTACTAATTTCATGTTCTTCGAGGCAATGGAAGCAGGGAACAGCACACCCATAAACTGCTAACAGTCTGCCTCTGAGCACAGCTGTCTCTTCCTTGTGAGATTCAACTACAGGGACTCACTGACCAGGCTAACATGGCGCCTAGACTGCGGCTACCGTGGGGGACATGAGTATACTGTTGTGTTACATTCAGCTCTTGCCTGAACCACTTTCACTACTTTATTCTGGCTCTGGTTTGTCACCCTGGAAGATATTCTTGACCCAAGTCTACAAATGAAGAAGTGCATAGGGCATTCCAAGGAGGAAAAGCAACAAACAAACTCCAACCTCTCCAGTAACAAAAAATCCAACCCAAACCAAAAGATGTACAATGTTAAAGACACATATTTTGGGCTTTATCAACAAGGACTGAGACAAAATTCTGAGACACAGAAGGAAGCCCTTCTGAATAGATAGGCATCTGGTCAAAGGTAACAGTCAAGAAATTGAGAAAAGAAAACAAAATAAGTCACACAAAGGAGGCAGAAATGTGGTTTTGACTGAGCTAGATGAGTGTGGGTCCATTGTGAGGACTCTGTTTCAACGGAGGGAATCATTAAGGAACCTATGTTAGGAATATTCAAGTGGAAGGTCAGTTGACATTGACTTTCTGTTGCCCCCAGCTAATGCCTTCATTCTGGGGCCCTGACTCCTCTAAAGAGATGAGGGTGTGGGAGGGTTTCAACTGGATGGGCAAAAAGGGCAGAGTCTACAGCCGAGGAACACCAATAGGATGTGAGTAACAGTATCCAGACACGGCCTTCAGTAGTCATTGGACTTTGATCATGACAAGGAGGAGGTAACAGTGTCCAGAAAGTGCTGTCAGTAGGCACTGGCTCCTCCTCATCACATCTTTAGTGGACAGAGCTTTAGAGGTGCGGCATTTCCTCCATCATCATTGAAACCGACACTGAAGAAGGGCCGTAGAGGTCCAGCAAAGGCACACTCCGAGAAGGTGTAGATGAGGGAGCCATGGTCAGTGATGTTATAGAAGGAGACAATGCCAGCCTCATAGTCTACAAAGATCCCAACTTGGCATGGAGGCACCTGAAGGTGGAGGGTGGTCTGGGGGCTGGTGCCAGCCTCATAGGTGTCTTTTTTCCATAGCCAAATGGTCCAGAAACCATTCTCAGTACTGAGTGAAAACTGCCCCTTCCTCTTTACAGATTCTCGGCAAACCCCCAGATCCCAGGCCTCCTTGCTGGTCACATCTACCTCCCAGTAAATCTTCCCAGAGGTGAATCTCTGGGCACCTAGCACCATGGGGTAATTATTAAATCTCTCCTCATTTTCAGGCACATTCTGACGGGTATGTCCAATCCTCACTTGTCTCCGATCCTTTGGGATGATGAGCCATGAGTTGGCTGTGTTCTGATCCAGAGTAATATGCACTGCAGAAAGAAGATCACAGGTAAGCCTGGGTAGGGTCAGCAAGTCTTTGCTTGTAGTGAGGGGATTCATGTAAACTCAAAGGTGAGGTGTGACCCTGAAACTCACCATGTGAGAAAATGACCTACAGCAACTCTGGCCTCTCCTCTGATGTGTGAGGAAACCTCGCCTATGTGTATTTGCTCCACCTGTACTCACTGAACACCTCTTCCACATGCTACCATGCTGTGCTCCCCATGACCACCTCTTCCACATGCTACCATGCTGTGCTCCCCATGGCCACCTCTTCCACATGCTACCATGCTGTGCTCCCCATGACCACCTCTTCCACATGCTACCATAATGTGCTCCCCATGACCACCTCTTCCATATGCTACCATGCTGTGCTCCCCATGACCACCTCTTCCACATGCCAGCACCCTGTGCTCCCCATGACTGTCCACTCTTCACTCTCGTTATCCCCTTATGTTCCAGCCCACAGTTCCTAGAAGTCACCTCACCCCAACATGTCCTCAGCATCTTCTTCCGCCCTGGCACATGGCACGTACTTGTCAGGTCTGGGGAGGCAACATCTAATGTGTCCAGGTTGAAGGATCTACTCCTACAGGAAGAAGGGTTTGAGAATCTTACTTGGCACTCCTGTCTTCTACCCCAGGCCCTAGTGATCTCCTTCCTGGACGACTCTGATAATTAAATTCAATACAAATTTACAATACTCATGCATTCGATGTCCATGTAAAAGGAAAAAAAAATAGTTTCTATCCAGGAGTTCCAAGTTCTAGGAAACTCAAATAAACCTCCATCTCTTCCCAAAGCCAGAGGTCACTACTAAGTGGCTTCTATTTAATTTTATAGGCAACCATCTAATATGTGAGTTCTTCTGTGAAGAACCTAGAGAGTCCCAGCAGACTCAGATTATCTTTTTTTGTTGTTTTTTTTTGGTGAGGACTTTACTGTATAAAGATGAAATAGTCTATCTACATCAGGCAATTTGCCAACTGAGATGTCCACTAGTCTTTTGAGGCCAGAGAACGTTATAGAGAGGACCAGGTCTTTGAGAACAGGGAGGCATGGGGAACACTCCCAGTGCATGTGTGTCTAACGCAATAACTATTTCTCAATAACTGTGCACACATGCTTCCCATTCCCTTTTCTAACTGAGGAAATCTCTCCTTACCTTTCCAGGACAATCGTCACCTCCTGAGGAGAGAAGAGGCATAGAGTCAGTTCTGGGGTTTCTGATTGACCACTGAGACTTGACTTCTGGTGTCAAGTGATATCACCCATGTTTTCTCTGGAGTCTGCTCTGCAGCATTCCCTCGGGCCATAGACAATTCTGACTAGCTCTTAGCAGAAAGGACAAGTGACTGCTCGTAGAATATCTAGAAAGTTAACATGGCCTGTCGCTAGGATATGACCAGGGGTTTAAAGACTGATTGAGAAAACAATTTAGAAGGGCTAGGTTCTTGGAGGAGGGGAGTTGACCACAGAGATGGTAAAAGAGGAAAATAAAGGCACAACTCGATTGAAGCCCAGCAGCAGTTTCAGGAAGAAAATGGCTGAGGTAGGATATCCAGAAAGGCTCTTTGCCATTTATGGGCTTGAGCTGTTTGGGGAGGAAGGGTTAGTTGGTTGAAAGCTTTGTCCTGTGCTGTGGCTAATCCTCTGCTGTATTTAGAGTGAGTTTAAGTGAGAATATTCGTCCCCAGAGAGTGACAGGCATAATGCTGGAACTGGCAGCCTTGTAGGCTCAGTCAAAAGGCACCAGGGAGCCCAGATTAGTGACAGGCAAGAGAAAGCCTTCCAAACCAAACCAATATAATCAGCTTTTCCTGAACAAACTCCAAAAGAAATGTCTGTTTGCATCTGACCGAGGGACAGTGTGAGAAAAGAAGCATAGAGATCATCTAGTCCATAGTGTTCCAATGTGAGGCTAACATATCACGGGTGGATGCAAGATGGTTTTAGAATATGCACGGATTTTAAAAACAGTTATGTACAGGCTGGAGAGATGGCTCAGAGGTTAAGAACACTGACTGCTCTTCCAGAGGTCCTGAGTTCAATTCCCAGCAACCACATGGTGGCTCACAACCATCTGTAATGGGATCTGGTGACCTCTTCTGGTCTGCAGGGATACATGCAAGACAGAACACTGTATACATAATAAATTAAAAGACAAAACAAAAACCAAAACAAAAAACAGTTATGTACATGTTTCATCTTAACTTTTGCCCCTTACTACTTAAACTGACATCATTTAACTTGATTCTCCCACTAAGCCTATTAATGTCTCTGCTCCTTAGTTTTCTCATCCATGGAATGGGATCACAGTAGCACTTACCTGAATCATGATAAGCCATCTGTGTGCTGTTTAGGAATCTGCAGTTATCATTGTGGGAAAAAAATTATAAAAAATAGTAGCACCAATATGTAATTTCTTAACTATCATGCTTTGGAAAAAAATTATTTTAAAGTTAAATTTATTTTGGGGAGAGAGTGAGACTGTTTGCAGAAGCAGAACAATTGAAGAATCATGTGGTTAGCTCATAGAAATAAAGTATGGAAATGCAACGGCCATGGCTAATGTGAGGGGCACTCTCGGGTATCCCAGCCCCTCTAGGGCTTCATAAATGGAGAAACTGTGCACAGGAAAGAAAAACAGGTTCCCATAACCTATCACTATGGCGGGAAACGACACAGCTCAGACGTGTGAATTATATTTTCAAAAACATTCTTATGGCTTCTTGTCTAAGCACTAGAATGGATTTTCTCATTTAATTCTTTAAAATATATGTAATACTATATATCAGGGTGATATGTGATAAGTGCGATGCTCCGGCTCCCACACCTGGCACCTGCTGAGGTAGGCACTTCCCAGGGATGTCTGTCCCAGGGTTGCAACATGGAGCACTTTTTCTTGTATCTGTACCCTGTGGTTCTGGAATGGAAGCCACTCCTGGGTCCACATTTCAGTTTAAGAATATATCAAAGATTAAGGTCGCACTTGCTTTAAGAGTGGTTCCAGATAGCTCTGGTTTTCTCCCAAGTTACTCCTTCTACTGAGCATGGGTCGCACCTGCAGTAGCTCAAGCTTGGGGCACCGGCTCCTCCTCTCCAGCTCTGCGATCAGCTCCTGCAGGGCCTGGTTCTTCTCAGCCAGCTCAGCCTCCTTCTCCCCCAGAAGTTTCAGGTGCTCCCTCTTATCCTTCTCCAGTTTCTGCAGCTGCCTCTGCTCTTCCTTGGCCAACAAGCTACTCTGGTGCACAAACTCTGAGTGAATCCTTGACTTCTGTGTGTCCACATTCTTCTGTGGTGGCAAGGGAAAGACAGGAATTTTACATTTTTATTTTTAATAACAATTTCCTAGGCTTTGGTGCTGGAGGTGCTTCTGTTCCCTGGTCACCCATCCCTCTGTTTATGTCTGGGAATGAATGCATGCACACCCGCATACCCAGGCACAGAGCATGCTCTCATGTGCATGCGTGCAGGCACACGGTTTCTGGGACTACCAGGGAAATAGCACTGGAAGTGGCACACTGAAGCTAGGGCTGTAGTAAGCTACAGCTTCAGCAACTTCTGGCACCAACAGACGTTTTCTCAACCTTTCTTCCAAAACCCAGTAATGCCCATGTGAGTCCGTTTGCCTTTCTATTGCAACAAGTCACAGAGAACAAAACCTGTTCCCATTTCCAATGATGTACTATTCCTAAGCCTTGGGGACAACAGTGGCCTCAGGGTAGTCTCTGCCATCTTGGGAGGGTCACCTGATAACCTGTTTTGACACTATAGCTTGATCCAGTCTTTGCTAATCCCAGTTCCTCTTTTGGGGTCTGTGATTGCTTGTGAGGCCCTTGCATTCCTTGTCAGTTTCATGCGTACCCCGTTTTCTACCAGCAAATGACCAATGTGACAGGCTTTAGTTCTTTACCAGGCTTTGGACTGATAACCGGGTCACCAGTAAGCAGCCACCGAGTCAGGTGGGCCTCCACCTCAGACTTACATAGATCCCGCAGGCTGTTCCCACCAGTCTCTGTCATGTCTAAAGGGCGCAGGAGATGGGATTCTCTCACAGGATACCTCAGACTCAGAAACCACAGTGTTGATTCTGGTGGCCCAAGACTGTTTGTTATCCACTGAGACAGGATCAGAAGGAATGGCATGACCTTCTTACACTTTCTCCAGTAATTCTTGATTTTTATGAAGATTGGGGGAAATCTCATCTGATTTCAAGCTTCCTCTTCCTTCCTTCCTTCCTTCCTTCCTTCCTTCCTTCCTTCCTTCCTTCCTTCCTTCCTTCCTTCCTTCCCTCCTTCCCTCCCTCCCTCCTTCCTTAATTCTTCTCTATCTAGAGATATAGTGTGGATGGTTCTTGGGGAGGGACCTATATAACAACTCTCCCACCCCTTGGAGAGGCACAGTCATGCTTGCTTGAGGTCAAGACCTGGCTACCCAGCCCATCCTCGGGATCTTACCTTCCAGTCTATTCTTTGCATTTCGAGATCCATTTCCAGCTTTTCGGCTAACTCTTTCCATTTCCTCAGTTTTTCTAAAGCCACACAGAGCTTCTCCTGTAGAAAAAGGTAGCAGGTTAGTCCTCAGCTAGAGATGTGGAGGAGGGGGCTGGGAAGACTTTGGGGGAAAACCTAGTATGTCTTACAAAACAGAGCGACACTGATGGGGTAATGGGATCTGGATCATTACATTTCTAATCCACCAGGAAGCCAGAGAAAGCATGACCTTATAGCAGTCCCCTGGCGTAGCCTCTGCTCCTGAGAAATAAGCTTGTATTTGATGCAAAAGTACCCCTCAGTGAAAGAAGAAAATAGCCCCCCATCCTCCAACTTCTCAGCTGTAGGGGTGACTCTCAGCCACTGTTCGGGGGAACAAAGCACTCTTCATGGACCGTTTTCTTTATACCTATGCATGCCTTTGTGCTAGGGCCTCACCTGGTATATCCGAGCAGCCTCTTCAACAGGGACCCTGGTGTGGTCACGGTGCTTCCCGGAGTGGTCGCACACCCAGCAAAGGGCCTGCCCATCTTCCTCACAGAACACCTGAAGTTTCTCTCCATGCTTCACGCAGCAGTCTTCCTGGGTCCCCTTCTTGTCACCCTGGGCTGTTTGTTTCAGGTTTTCTACCATGTTGGCTATGTGCCGATTGGGCCTGAGGTTTCTGAGCAGAAAGCGTTGCCGGCATACAGGACATGAACCGCCCCCACCTTTCCCAACATCAGAGATGCATCCCTTGCAAAAGCTATGGCCACATTCGATACTCATAGGCTCCACCATGGGATCCAGACAGACACAGCAGGTGACATCCTCCCACATCTTTTCCAGAGACATCTTTGAGGCTGTAGAATATTGAGGAGTGCAGAGGTGGGGGAAGGGAAGAGATAAAACGAGAGTTCGCATGACAAGAGCAAAAGCAGGATAAAACCCAAACTCCCCGAAATAATGCGAAGGAGAAAATGTGAGAGAACGACATGGGAGGGAAAACAGAAGAAGGGAGGAGCATCAGGCTGAGTAAGAGCAGCCTCTCCTCCAGTCTGACCCACCGATCCCGTCAGTCAGGCAGAACTGTTTCCAGAAGAGGTAGAGAACACTGGCAGGGATAATGCTGTTACTAATTCTACCTTCATCACATCTGTCCCGGCTTTAACCACACACTCCCCCTCATCTCATGCCTCCATGGTGCAGAGAAGTTCTTTGTAGTAGTACCGACCATTGACCACATTTACCATGGACCCTCCATATTCCACCTGGGTGCTACAAGCTTATGTCAGTCTTCATTAGTCTTGACAATAACTACAGGGGTCAGGAATTAGGAGCCAAGGTCTATGCAGTTATTCATTACATGAGACATTTTGGTCTAATATGATGGGCTGCATGTATGGTGAATGAACAGTAGGTTGGACCATACTGCCTAGGTGTGTCATTGGCTACCCTCTCAGGTTCATGTAAGTACACTTCAAGATGTGCGTTCATTTTGATATGACATCACCTTGGAGCACATTTCCAGTCATTGGGGTTGCATGTGCATGTATGTATGTATCTACATATATACCTAGCTGTCTTTATTTATCCTAATGTGTTTTATATACAAAATATAAATGAGCACAAATGCATCAATGTAGGTGTGCCCACACGTTTCCTTATATAAATGTTTAGGCACACATATGAATATGTGTGTTCATCCATACACATTTGTGGGGAGCACTCGCCGGGCTCTTCTCTAAGCTGCTCCAAGCCTAGTACCTGTCTCAACTTCCTGCACATAAATGGCTAGCACTCACCTCCATCAGGGCTCTTTAAGGGGCGGGACTTTCCCTGACCTCTGGGCTGGGTCACAGCCTGCTTCTCCCACCTTTACTAACTCCCTCGTCTCAGCTCAGGCACCAGCCACCAGGAAAGCCCCTTCCAGGGGACTAGGAAAGTCACTTTCAGAGCCCAGCTTCCACTGGCCTGTGTGGACAGCCCGCCAGGGCTGGAACTAGAGAACTCTGCTGAGGAGAAGCAGCAGGTGGACCGGCAGGTTCAGGGTCGGGGGCGCTGGTGGGAAGGGGCTCCTCGAGTCTGGGGCGGAGGAGAGAGCACTCCTAGGTGGGCCGGGGATCCCAGCCTTACTCACCTTACCAGGGTCCTCAGCGTTGGCCACCGGTTCCCAGCTTCGCTTTCACAATCCCGCTCTCTAAATTTCACTTTCAGTTTCCTCTCGGAGGCCAGTCTAGAAGGAAGCGGGAGGAGCAAGGGGAGGAGCGGGAGTTGAGCGGCAGAGGGAGGATGGGGGTAGAGAGGGCGGAGACGGGGCGGGGAGTGAGAGGAGAGAGGTCAGAGGTGCTAGAAGCTGCTGGTTGCCAGGCGCAGGCGCAGGCGCCAACTGCTTCCCTTCTCTCTGAGGCCTCCTTGTCTCATTTCCCAGAATGTATCCTACAGGATATCGATGTGTTGTTTTTGTCACTGGTATTCACCTCACACCTGGAGCATCTGGGAGAAGAGGTCTGGATGGAGAGGAATCACATTCTGCTTACTACTTCCAGGAATGGATTCCTTCCCACAAGATTGGCAGTTCTTTAAAATTTGGGATGAAAGATGTCGCCACCGTTCTTATTAGCATATATTAATTGTACAGTGTACTTCAATTATGCTTATTTCCCATCACTCTATCTTCCGATTTTGCTCTCCGCTTCTCAGATAGTCTGAGATGAGAAATTTATTCCTTATGAATGTCAAGATAGGTGTTGTGCCAATGAAGGGAGTTGAGATTTATGGGCACCGACTGTCTTAGAACTTGAGCTAAAAGCATCATTTGAATTTTCCTTAATATTTATTATATTTAGGAAGCATAAAGACATCTCATGCTTTGAAATTTCTAGTCCTATTTAAGAGAGATTTTCTGAGTGAAAGGCCACCAGGTGACATCTACTGTCTAGATTGTACTACCGAAGTGGGATTTGATTCCAGGAACACAAACAGTCCTAGAAAGTAGAATGAAACACAGAGTCAAGCATCTGAATGGACGAAGAGAGCTGTAGACATCAGAAAACGACTCTGCCTCATACCCCTGAAGACCTGTTGCTGTTTCCTGCAGGCATGGAGAAAGCCTGCCAACTTTGGAGGCTAGAAAAGAACCTGGGTCCCAAGATAAGGTACATTTTGTTATTTACCACTAGATGGCGCTCTGTTTCTGTTGACAAGCCCACCCTACGCTTGTGTTGGTGCGTGCTCACACAGACTGACTAACATAATATAGTGTAACTCCCACGTTAGTAATTGTTTGAAGATCCAAACTGTCATTCCAAATTCCCTTCATCCGCAGATGGTACTTCGATATTTGTCTTCCTTTTTTTCCTGTTGAAATGACCCATGTCTTTATTTGGGAAGGAATAATGCCATTGACATGAACGTCCAGCACATTGGCTATGCTAGTGAAATGAGAAGGTGGAATTTGGGTTTTAGTCGTAGTCTCCACGACTTTAATGTGTGTCAGTAATCGAAGTTGTCCTGGTGGTAGGGATCGGTCCACTCTGGCCAGGACAGGAAGGGCATCCTCTGTATATTTCTAATTTAGTGACCTAACGCTCCAAGGAAAGGAGGAGGAGGACCAGTTAGGAAGAGGAAGGGCTCACCAGGCGTGGGGGAGGGACAAGAGAGGGTGATAGAAGGCTGCTGGTTTAATCATGCATCAGAATTATGGGATAGCTCTTATTGTTTGTTTCTGCTCTTTTGGAGAGCCTGCAACCCAACTCCCAAATAAATCACTCACAGAGGTTATTCTTAATTATAAATGTCCGGCCTTTGCTTGGCTTATTTCTAGCCTGTTTTCTTTTCTTCTTTTTTTTTTAAACAAAGGGAAAACTTTATTGTTTCAATCAAAGGGAATATTGGCAGCCTACTCGTTAACGTGCAGAAAGGTATCTCAACTATGGAAACTCAAAGAGCAATTTCTAGCCTGCTTTCTTAACTTTAAATTATCCCATCTACCTTTGGCCTCAGGGCTTTTGCTTTTTCTGTTTCTGTACACCTTTCTTTCTTACTCTGTTGCTGGTTGTGTTGCTAGATGGCTGGGTGGCTGGGTGGCTGGATGGCTGGCCCTCTCTTTGAGACGTCCTCTTCTCCTTGTTCTTGCTCTTTCTTCCTCCCTCCCAGATTTCTCTTTCTATTTATCCTCTCTGCCTGCCAGCCCTGCCTATCCTTTCTCCTGCCTCGCCATTGGCCGTTCAGTTCTTTTTTAAACCATCAGGTGTTTTACACAGGCACAGTAACACAGCTTTAAAGTTAAACAAATGCAACATAAACAAAAGTAACACACCTTAAAATAATATTCTACTACAGATAACCATTTACTCTCATAGGCAAGGCCTTTGTTGATTTCTGTTCCTATAATAAAATGTCACTATTGAGTAATTCATAAAAAACATGTTTCTTTTTATAGTTGTGAAGAATGGGAAGCCCAAGATAAGGCAGCAGCAGATTTGCTGCCTCCTACTTGCTTTCTTCTCAAGATGAGGCCTTCCTTCTCTTTGAATCCTTTTTTGTAAGGATCCTAATCCACAGCTTCATTTCTTGTCATCATCATCATCATCATCATCATCATCATCATCATCATCTTAATGTATGAATTTCACGAAGACACAGACATTCAGACCACAGCAGACGGGATTCCCAAATTGGTGCCATACCTGTGCTTTCAACAGGTCATACCCCAGTTCTGCTGACCACCTGTCCTAACTGATGGTGCAGGTTCCAGACCAATGGTTTCCATAGAGAAGCCCCATTATTAGGACTTGTTAGATATAAAACAGTTCCTTGGTTCTAGGTAGTGCTTTGGAAATAGCTTAGTGGAGCAGGTTTAAAAATGGTGGCTCTTGGCAGATACAATGCAGATGGAAAAACAGATATGCTGGAATATCACTTCCTTTGTTTGAAAAATTCCACTTATTTAATGTAAATAGTGTCACTAGAAAACTGCTCAGATTTTCCTAGGCATAGTAAAAAATCAGGGTAAGAATTGGCATTATATATATATATATGTATATATATATATATATGTATATATATATATATATATATAAATAGCATTCCACTTCCTCCAGGAACCCCCAACTTCCTCCTTCTACTTCCCCCAGGAAGTGATGGAATCTCAAATTTTAAGACCCCATTATGGATCAAACAATGTAAACAAATGTACAAAGAATGTGAGATTAATTTTGCTTATAACTTGGCTGCTTGAGGTATACCTGGAGAACTGGTCTCTCTCTCTCTCTCTGAATTAGTTTGATATAGTCCCTAATAAAAAACTAAATTAAAATTCTTTTACAGCTCTGACCATGGAGTAGGGGGAAGTTAATGTGGTATGTGGTTATAGAGGAGGCTTGATGGACCACCAAAGCCAGCTCTTAATGTCTTATGGAGAAGTCAAAAGACTGTGTGTAAAGTTTATAGGTCTTTTCCCAAGAGCTTCATGTATTCTAATTTATTTAAGTTTGAAATGACTCAGTGTGCTTTTAAAAAAAGCACATGAACTTGGTAGAAAAAATGGTGGGGGAATAGGGGAGGAATTGGGGGAAAAGGAATGGTGTATATAGTTGATCAAAACACAGTATATGCATGTACAAAATTCTCAATAAAAAAGAAAAAAAATTCACATGAAAAGTTTTCATTTTAAAAGAAAATGTGCAGAGTCATTTTATAAAGTAAAGACATCTGAAATAAACAAGATTAATGAGTATTGGAAAAACCAAGATTTATTTGATTGTGTGTGTGTGTGTGTGTGTGTGTGTGTGTGTGTGTGTGTGTGTGTGTTTATGTGTACTTGTGTGCAAGTGCCTATGGAGGCCAGAAGTGGATGTTGGATACCCTGGAACCAGAGTTATTAGGCAGTTATACTGCCTGATGTGAGTGCTGGGAACCCAAATCTGGTCCTCTGGAAGAATAGGAAACACTCCATACCATCTCCCAGCTCCATACATCCTAATTTTATCATAGTGAAGATTCTGTGAAGACCAACCATCACCTAATCACATAAATGACTAAGTATCAAGGAGGTCATTTGCTCATAATCACATATTTGGTGAGAGATCCAGAAATAAATAGGCCAGAAGTTTTCCACTACCTCATGCTCGGCAGATGGTTTCCAAGGATGTTGCTGGGGGGGGGGAGAGAGAGAGAGGGAGAGAGGGAGAGGGGGGGGGAGAGAGAGAGAGAGAGAGAGAGAGAGAGAGAGAGAGAGAGAGAGAGAGAGAGAGAAAGCCTGCTTCGTGAGTGTAGCTTTGCTTTCCAACACTGTCATTCCCTAAGTACCACCTTGGGGTTAAGCAGAGAAATGTCTTCCTCCTCTCTCCCAAGTTTTCTAGGCCTAAAGCACCGATGTGAGTTTGTGGCTATACTGCTTCGTCTTTGGCAGACCACACTAATGCTCTCTAGATGCAGGCTTTCTTCAAGGTCTCTTCCACAGAAGGACAGAGTGTGCCCCAGTCTCTAGTTACCCACATCTGCCTCCATCTGTCACTGGATTTCATGGGGTTGGGTCTTCAGGAGGAGTAGCCACTCTGTATGAGGTGTCTGAGCATCCTCCTGGTGCCCCTAAGAAAACTCATCAGGTACTCAAGCACTTGCCTGGTGCTTCCACACCAACTCTCAGAGCTGCCTGTCCCAGAGCTCAGGGACCTCAGCAAGGTGAGCTGCGCAAATCTCTTGGATTTGCGTCTGGTTCCCAGCAGACCTGTTATGTCTCTACTTCTAACAGGAAGATTATAAAGTACTGGCCTTTGTGGGCAGAACAAGAGATGGTTCTTACTAACAGAGGAACAAATGAGAGGAGACACAGGCTCTGGAGCTGTGGTGAGTGAACAGATGAGGTGCCAGGTCTGGGCTGAGGGGGCTGGGCACCAGAGCCTTGCACCATCTGCCTGCATCATTATTTCTGCTACTGAGCAGAACGATATCGGTCTAGAGCAGCCACCTTCCCTCTGGGTCAGTCGTGGCCTGAGGTATGATAGTGACTGGATGAAGGCTTTTCCTGATCTTAAAACATAAAGGGCTTGGGTCTGTGAGGCCCTCTTTAGGTCTGACTGTTCCTAGGTGGTCTGGACCAAGGACTATCATGAGAAGATGGGCAACTAAGGATGAAGGGAAATACTGTTCTTCAATTCTCGACTAACTGGTCTAATCTGGGAAAAAGCTATAGGTGTGTGAATGGTTCCTCAGGACTCCTGTAGTGGCTGCTTTAGGCACAGGAAGAATCTGAGGTGTTCTGCAGCTTATTGTAGGGCAAAGTTAGCTACAACATGGGCTCTGCCTCGGTCTGAGGTCCAGATGCTCGGCTAAACCTCCATCCAAATGTCAGATTCTGACTAGTTTGAGCAGGGCCATTGACAGTCTCTCTTCTGCTAAACTAACTCTGTCCAAGGAGGCCATTAACCATGTAACAACTGGTCACATTGACAATTACTAGGGCCTTATGATTTCCTGATGATCTCATAGACCCTCACTGCCATTCGAGGGTAGAAGTACTCTTATTATTTCTTGTTTACAAATCAGGCAATTTAGGACAAAGAGGTGTCAAAACATGCCCAATACTCACAGATGGAAAATAGCAATGCTAGGATTTAAACCCAGACTCCATGGATGTAAAGTACAGACTTAAAATGTTTTTAGATTAATTTAATTATTTTATTTTATTTTTGTGTGTGAGTGTTCTGCCTGCATGTATATATGTACATTACATGTACTCTTAAAGGGTTGTGACCTATCATGTGGGTTGGGGAAACTAACCTGGGTCTTCTGCAAGAGCAACAAGAGCTCTCAATCACTGATCCATTTCTTCAGCCCCTAGGGTGTGCACCTTTAATCCTGTGCTGCCCACCTAGACTATAATATACATTATATGCCAACATGTTCCAGCCTCTGAAACGCCAATGTGAAATGTATGCTTTTAACAGAATGCACATATTAACCATGCTACTAAAGACACCCAAGGAAATTAACGAGGTTTAACATTTGTAGCAAGCTCAGATGTCCTTAGATTTAGCTGTGTTAATACTGAAGGGAAGGGCCCAATGGCCTGGCTATGCAGTATCATAGCTGCTTGTGATTGATGTAAAAGGCTTTTGTGTCAGTTTTTGTCTTCTTTCCTCCCTCTCTCCCTCCTCCCCTCCCTCTCTTCCTCCCTCCTTCCTTCCTTTCTTCTATGTGTCTATAGCTATTGCATCTTAATATCTATGTGTATATAACTATTACATCTTAATATCTATGTGTCTATAGCTATTACATCTTAATATCTTAGACATATTCTTACAGCTTAGATATATTCTGGACCTATTCTAGACTTAAACCTCACCAGTTAAATATAAGATTTCAGTTGCTACTTAAAAAAAAAAAAAGCAAAGACAATACTTATATGGTTAGATTTTGAGGACCATGTTTAAAATATTTAAAGAGATTTAATACAAAACAGAATTAAAAAAGGGAAGGATCTGATTTATTTAAAAACCACTTTTTCCTGTATAGATCACAAGTGTGTGAACAAACGAAAGTTTTACAAGATCCTCCAATTTCCATTCTTTTTGCTCACCCTCATTGCAGCCCCACTGACAGCACCAGACCTAAATCCGTTATTAGCTTTCAACCACAGACTCCCAAGGACCCCGGTTTGTACGGGGTGTAGGGAAGGACCGGTGGAGAACAAGTCATCCCTTCACCCACCCTGCACTCATCCTCTCTACCACATAACAAAAACTTCAGCCAGCCGGGAAGCAAAGGAGGTGGAGGAGTCTGAGGTGTTCGGTGACCCTGCAAGCAATCGGTGACTTCCTTGTCACAGGTGCCTGGCATAGGCAGCTTTATGCCAAGCTTATTTCTGAGCAGTGTAATTTTATCCCTAATGTTAGCTGAGGCACATCAATATCATGGCTTGAGGAAACTTGAGTTTCTGGCTGATGCCAGTCTCTGTTAGGCTTAGGATTCAGTGCTATGACCTGTTTTTCTGCGTCTTCCCATTTGGCCCTAGGACCCAGCTGGCAAAGCCAGAGGCTTAAATCCTCACACTCCCTGGAGTGTTGGTGACTGATGCTTGGTTGCCATAGAAATCTTCTTGGGGTCTCCAACCTTCTCTAAGCTGGGCCATTTCCTTTCAAGACTCATAGGTATTGGTGATAGACTTCTTTGATTAACAAAACAAAATAGGCTTTACATTATTCATGGTCTTCTGGAATCTGGATAAGTAAAATGGTAGAAAGACAGAGAATATAATTTAATTTTTTCCATCCCCATAATTGACTGTGTTAATGATTTTCTATCTATCTACCTAACCTATGCATCATTTATCTATTTTATCTATCACCCACCCCTTTCTACCACCACCCCTGCCCTGTCCACATTTAGTTTGATCAAGTGTCTTGATAACACTCTCCTTACTGTTCTGAGGAGAATATTCGTCTCCCTAAACCATAACTCCATAACTAAATTCACATAGCTAAACCGTAATTCCATAACTAAATTCACACAGCTAAACCATAACTCCATAACTAAATTCACACAGCTTGCAATACAGGACGGTCATTAAGCTTGTGAGTTCCTTTTGCTTTAGGGTGTAGAAACATGAGAATACTCAAGGACTGGTGATTGGGACATCGAGGTGATCACGGAGGAGGCAGGGATGTTAGATGAAGAGAACTCTCAAGTATATAACTTCATGTCACTTCTTTGGGGACAGATATTTACAGCACTAACCATGTTAATAGGCACAATAGGTAACAAAAGAAGTATCATAACATAGTATCTAAGCAGCCTCTGGGATCCGGCTGCCTCGATTTGTAGTCTGGCCACTCACTTGTTAACTTTATGATCTCAGGCAAGTCATCAAATTAGTTGGTGCCTCAGTTTTCCCATGTGAAATGGGAATGATAGTTTTATTCTCTTCATAATATAGAAAGCCCTCAATAACCAAGGAATTTATTATTGTTATTATTATAAAAATTATTATTATTATTGAGACTGGAGCTCATTGTGTAGCATAGGCTGGCCTCAGCTCACAATCTTCCTATCTCAGCTCCTCCTATGTTGGGATTGTAGGTGTTCTTCACCATTGCCACATGTGTGAAGTATGTGTATGGTAACACTTTAGTGCTCATGCACCAAGCACTGTTTCAAGTCTCTCTCTCTCTCTCTCTCTCTCTCTCTCTCTCTCTCTCTCTCTCTCTCTCCACACCCCCCACACATGTGAAGAGACGATTATTTTTTAAAAAACTTTGGGAGTGAGAATGCTGAACGACCAACACACAAGCATTGGTATCAAATCGTTTGTTTCTTCTGCTTACTTCTAGTGAGGTGTGACAGGATTTCTCATCTCTTAGATTGTTTTTTCATCTTCAGGGAGAAGACAATGTCACTCAAAGGCATTGGGGGACTTCATGAGATGCAGGCTATAAAATCCTAGGCTAGGGCATGGTTAGCATTACACCTTTGTCAGTGCCTACAAATGTGTAAAACCGTGTACAGCCTTTCCCATGTTCATAACCACTCTGTGACATCATTTTATTACATTTAGGACATGATGACAGCTCAGGATGAGGAACACAACTCCTGGAGGCAACACTCATGTGGGCTGCAGTGTAGATGGCAGCCCTTGCAGGTGTGCACTGTGGCTCTGATGGACAGTTGCTCATTTTTATGTGTAAGACCAGATGTGGTTTGGCTTGTGTGACGGTGG